AAAAATAAAAAGATATTTTTTCGAATTAAAAATATCTATTATTATAAAAAGAAAAAATAAAAAGATATTTTTTCGAATTAAAAATATCTATTATTATAAAAAGAAAAAATAAAAAGATATTTTTTCGAAGTAAAAATATCTATTATTATAAAAAGAAAAAAATAAAGATATTTTTCGAAGTAAAAATATCAATTATTATAAAAAAAAAAGAAAAAGATATTTTTCGAAGTAAAATATATTATAAAAAAAAAATAAAAAGATATTTTTTGAAATAAAATATCTTTTATTATAAAAAAAAAAAATCTTATTTCTAACCATCTCAACCCTTCAAACTTGCGAACCTCCCTCGTTCATCCCGATTTCGGACTACCTTTTTTCTGGTAGTCCTAATTCTCTTCCTTTCGAAATAAAATTTCATTAAAGAAAAAAAATTCTTATTTCTTCGCGAATCGACCTCGGTCATCCCGATTTCGGACTACCTATTTTCTGGTAGTCCTAATTCTCTTCCTTTCGAAATAAAATTTCATTAAAGAAAAAAAATTATTATTTCTTCGCGAATCGACCTCGGTCATCCCGATTCCGGACTACCTTTTTTCTGGTAGTCCGAATTCTCTCAGAACCGGAAGCTCTCAAGACCACCACCACCAATATCTGATGGTTTTTTTTCTTTGTACAATCTACAAATACGTCCTTCCAACAACTTCTCTTCTCAACTCTATTTTTCCACTCCTCCAAATTCCCTTTATATTTTCCCTCTTCCCACTTCTTCTGCAGCTACTAATTTCTTTTTGCATCCTTATCGAAGGTTTCAATTTTTCGTAATTTAAATTTATTTTATTTAGAATAGTGTTGGACTTTGAACACATTTTTTTTGATTTTAAATATTTTTGGACAAGGTTTTGGACAGAGAAAAATGTATCCATAACCTGCATTTTATTGATTGTGATATACTGATGCGATTAATAGATTAGATAAAAGATAATCTGACCACTTTAATCGAGATATTCATTTCCTTTGCCCCAAAAATAACCTGATTTTATTGTTACAATAATGTAAATGTGGTATAAAAAGAAATACAAAGATAATCCCGTGATACATGATGACGTTTCTATACTGTTGACTACAGACTATTGTAGAAAATTAATATTGGACGATCCAGTCCAATGAATTAAAACTTGATTGTTCAACAAAATGAATAAAATTTATACTTTTTGATAAGTCGTCAATTAACATACCATAAATTACAAATAAAAACCATTAACCCTATAAAATGTTCACATCCATTAAACCAACTAATTTTTTTATGTTTATCATAATGTCCCTACCGCTAATGACTCTCTTAAATCTCTTGATAGTCCTGATATAATGATATTTGCCTGTAATTTTAACTTTTCACGCTGCTTAGGCGTAGGTATAGATGGTGGTACACCATTATTGTCTCGCGTTGATGATGACTTTTGTGATGATGAATCGTTTTTATTTGACAATCTCTATAACATAAAACGTTAGTACACACCATAACAAAAAAAAAAAAAAAAATCTTCGAAATTGCTCACCAATTCATCCTTTACCCTTACTAATAAATCCACTAATTCCATTTCATGTTTACCAATCATCCATTTCTTTACATCATCATCACATAATACTTGTAAGTAGCGTTTACGTAGCTCATTTTGTGCTTCCGTGGTACGTTGTCTAAGCCACGTAGCAAAATTACCACACTTTAGAAATTGTGCGTAAAAATTTAAATAAGTGTCCGTAGTTGTGGGTGGGAAATTTTTTGATTTAAAAGGAATTTGTGGCCCTATCATTTCAAAATTGTTAGCTTTATAAATATTGTAATGTTTAAATTTAGAATATAACCTATGTACGTTACCGTGCTCTTGTAATGATTTTAAAAATACGTCGGTTTTAAAAGGTTTGAGTTGTGGAGGCTCCTGTGAAGAAGAGAGTGTTCTAAATAGAAAAGATCTGTTAGCTATTAAATATAATAACTTAGTTTTGAGGTTCTTGACCCTTTTCTCCATAGAACATACATATGAAATGGTATTAATGTAGAAAAATATCGGTTAAGTGGTACCAAAAACTTTTCAGTGAGTTCGACAAAATATCGTCTCAAAATATTATTCAGTAAATAATCTACCAAAATCAACATTGTTAACATATACAATGAACTGTCAATTAAAACATTCTACATACTATCAAACATTTACCCGACGGATATCCACGAGCGATTGCTTCTGCGAGTAATTTCAGTATAGCCTTATCTTTAGCTATGACAGATTTTCGTTTACTTGTCACACCCTAAAAGTTGACAATTATAATTATTAATTATTAATAATATAATTCACTTGAATAAATATTTCTTACTTGTATAAAATCGAGTGACGAAACATGTAATCTTTTCCATGATGAATCACATTGTTTTCTCGATTTAGATTTGCCGACTCTGATTATATTTGGCCAATGCTGTAGAGCTTTTGTAAAGAATGGGTTTGTCACTCCAATTATTATATTTGACGGAGGCTGCATACAGGTAAGAAATTTTTGTCATGAACAAAAAATTATAAATATAAATGTGCAAAAATAACATGACTATTTACCTTATTCTTCGTTACAAAAGATTTGAAGTCCGAATCCTGAATCGTGAAATATGGACGATAATCACCACAGTATGGTATCTAAATATAAAAGTAATATTAATATCGTTTTTATTAACATCAATTTCATCAAATAACTTAAGACCATCACATACCGGATTAATCAGATCCACCAATTCTATCACACTTTCGCTACATATTTTCGGATCCGGTGCCATTAATACAATAGGTTCTGCAAATAGCATCAATTCCCAACATAACCATAAATCTTTTAACATGTCTCTAAAATGTGTAAACATTGTAACTGGCGGTAATGACGCAAGAATTTGAGTTTCTGGTCGATAATTTGCCATGTCAAAAGGACACGTTTCAAGAAGTTGTGGTTTATTTGACTGTGGTATCTCCACTTGTAAAACATTGCCCAAAAACGGGAGGTCAAAATGATTCCCTGGCAATGGAGATTTCCAGCTAGCAATGTCATGACATGCAGCTTCAAGCATAGGTTTTCCTACGTCAAAATATGTTGGTCCAAGAATAGAAACCATTTTCGAAAAAAGTCCAACATATGGAAATTGTGATAAAATAACTAAAGATTTCTGAAAATAACCACGCCTTATTCGTGAATCTTTCTTTTGTCGAAAGAAAACATAACCATATAAAAATCCCGCATCGGCTGTTGGACCTAATAAATATAATAAACAATACTCAATATTTTATAAATGTAAATTTTATTCTAGGGTACTTTGTTTAATAATAATTAATTAATTCATTTCTTTCTATACTATAATTATAACCTATTGATTTCACATTAATTTATATCATCTGCAATAATACTACACACCAAACTCATCCGAAAATCAAAACTAAGACAGTTACACGCAAACTATCAGGAAAAAAAATAAAAATTTAAGGCATTTTGCGTGATACTAAATCAACTGGCAAAAGATGAGCTTTCCAGGATTATTATGCTGTATAAAATGAATATTTCTGAAAATAATGCAAATTCATTACAAATGAACCAATACCAATAGTAACAAAAAAATTCTTTCCTAACCTGAAGAAACTAATCCAGACTGTGAACATCTTATGCGAAAATTGAACACTGTATCTCCGACATCAAATGAATTTGAATCTGGAAATGCAGAAAAACAAATATTTTTCTTTTCATCATCTATCAATTCTGAAGGTGGGTACATTAAATCCATCGCTTGTCCTAATTCCAAATCGAAATTTATTACACAAAAACATAATATCCAATTCCTGAAATTATCCAATGCTAATAATTCAATTATATCCCAACTATTTCTATGGTTCGATTTATTATCTTTTGTATAGTTAATGCGTTCCTTATTTTTGTCTCTTAATGAAATTGATTCATTGTCATTGAGGGAATTTGAATCATTTGTTCTCAATTTAGATTCATCAGAATTTGACAATTCCAATGAAAATATTTCACAGTCATTGAAAGGATTTCGAACAAAAGTCGGCGTAAAATGTAAACTTTTAGTCTCCTTAGAACTTAAAGACCTTTTCATAGTGTTTCTTTTTGGTCTTTCGGAAAAATTTTCTATCCGCTCAGATTCTTTTATGTTAATCGTATCTGGGAGTCTTGTTGTGGAATGAAAACCTTTTGTCATTAAACGTGTAGTAGAAGAGGAGGGTGAAGAATATGATGAGGAATATGAAGGAAAGCGTGAAGGAGCTAAAGTATTATTGTTTTTATTTGTTATTGGATTTAACGGTGCAGGTGACGAAGACAACGTTGCTAAATCAGGACTAGATTCTTTTGAAGTTAACATTTTATCGGCAAGAATTGGATTTCCTGTAATGGGTGACATTCGAGAAGGTGTAGACTTCCTTGTAGGAATAATAATTGGAGAGGAAGGAGAATGAACTTCAAAAGTGAGAGTCGATTCCTTTGTCATTCCTTTGCTTATGGATTTGATTTGAATAAATAAATTAACCTGATATAATTTTTATCAAGATTACTGCGTCTAGTCTGTATTGTTTGGCACACTCGAGAATTAAATAACCGATATGCGATTAATGAACGTTATTTTGAAAGGAAATCTCCATCCTTATATAATGAGTTATGGGGTATTGTACAAATTGACAAACACACATAATTTATGTTGTACAATATATATAAAATGTAGGAAAAAAACGAATTAAACGAAAAATAATAGATTCCCAAATCGAGAGTTAATCAAACTCTTTTTAATACTTTAACTGTTAATCTTATCATATGGAAAACCTAAAAATTCATTATATTATATTATTTAGTAGACTAAATCATAAATCTATTTTTTCAAATAATAACAATGTAATGTTTGAACTTAATTCATAAGAAAATTTTATCAACTTTTTAATACTAGCTTATAATATAAAAAAGAAAATAAAGAAATATAATTTTTTATTATTTATTATATCCTTGTAATAATTATCTATTTTTATTTTTAATTAAAAGTAAATTTTAATAATATGGGACCTTGCAATATAAACTTAAAAGTTAATTAAATTATTAAATGATAAAAAATAAAACTAATTTTATAAAATTATTAAAATTATATTAAATTAATATTTAAATATTTTACTAATTTAAAAATTTACTTATAAAAACAAGTTTTTTTTTTAATTAATGTTTTTTTTTAAAAAAAATAATAATAATAATCAGTAATTATAAATTTATTTAGAAATATATTTACTAATAAATTTAATTAAAAATATTAATTAAATTAAAAATTTGAAATTAATTTAATTTAAAATTATATATTATATATGAATCATTGTAAAATTCATAATTTTTTTTTAATTTTTTTTATAACTTTTATGATTTTTTAAGAATTTTATAGCTTTTTTATAAACATAAATTATTTAATTCAAATAATAATTTGAATCATTCTAATTAAATTAAAATAATATAAGATTTCATTAATTTTAATTTATTTTTTATGAAAATATTCTTTCTTCACAAACTTAATTTCACTTTTAATTAGAATTTAAAATTCTGTTATATTACTCAATGCTTATTTTTCCGGATGCTTGCCTTTGTTTTTACGAATGCTATCATTTTCCTCTTGATCATTATCATTCTCATCAACTAATTTTTCTAAAACTCTCTTAATTTCTTTCACTTCATCTCCACACCTTAAACATTGCCAGGTTCCGTCTTCTTGAATCAATTTAGTTTTGATACAGAAATAACAATAAATGTGACCACAATTAGTTTCATACGGATTGTGTATCTTAGACGAGTCCACAGTTACTACAGAAGACATGGGTGCATTTGAAGCTGATTGATTCTCATGACATATGGCACAAATGTGCATAGGCAAAAAATCGAGTGTATGAGATTTAGAATAAGCCTCGGGGAGAAATTTACGTTTTAAGATATTTTTGAGTTTACGTAAATTAATAAGAGGCATAAGGAAGAGGAGGAATTCCTAAAAAAAGAAAAAGTATCCAAAAAAGTATAGAGTAAGTAAAAATAAAAGCGAAAGATTCCATTATAAATAATACCGAAATTTACCGTAAAGGCATGCCAAACCAATTGTCGATTTAAGAATTCAAAGCTGACTTGTCTATTCATGATTCTACGTGTATAAACTAAACGCATTGAAAGGATTCTATCAATCAATGTGCGGTACCTAAAAAACGTAATTCATATATAAGTTGTTATATATTATAAGTTTTTATAAATCAATATTTTACGATATACTTACTTGCCATCATATAAAAATATCAGGAAGTTTAATAAAGATAATGATTTATAAACATTTTCAACTTTTTGTAAAATTTTCCAAAATACCTTTCGTGGATTATCCTACAATGATCAATTACATCGTAACCATCTAGTGCCCAAATTTTAATATATTCAGGAGTTTTATGTTACCTCACTAAGTTCACCCCATCCTTGCGCTGTTACCAACCGATTGACGCGCATCCACATATATTGACCGCCAATTGTCAATGCACCATACACGAATTTCTGAAATTTTGTTAATGGAGAATCTTTAGCTGTGGATTGTACTAAAAAAATGACAGAAAATGACGCGTATTAATCAACCCAATTCGTTAAATATTTTAATAAAAGGCCATTAATTGCATTAAACAAAATGTTCAACTTCACACATCCTCCCCAATGTTGTCTCTCATTCCGATATTTAAGATTTTGTAATTGTGCGCCATACGAAGCGCCAGACTCGTATATAGAAAGACGGTACATGATTAATTGCAAAATAGCAAGTAATTCTGGTTCAAATGTTTGTTTAAATTGAGGCTATAAAATTTTAACCAATTAAAATAAATAAATAGTAATATTCCAAAATGGGTTATTATTAAAATATAATTACGTTAAATAATGAAAATGATAGCCATAGTTGTTCTTTTAACATGTCAAAAAGCTCAAAGTCTAATAAGTCTGCGTCTAGCTGGCTAACTCGCATAATGCGCAAAGGCGAAGAAGGAAAGGAAGCCAACGAACTACGTAGAGAAGATAGTGATTTTTGAACATTTGACCAATCATTTTTCCAGAAAGCACTGGTTAACGCTGTATCAATGGTATGATTTGTCGAATTTGAAGCAACATTTGACACAGTTCCGTCTGGCGAATCGCTAAGCAAACGGTTTCTGTTTGAATCGTTGGGTGTCATTGTAAAAAGAGAGAGGTGAAGCCTTGCAAGCACAAAATAAACGATTCCTGATTGGCCGACACATATTCAGAGGCGCAGTGAATTAAAACATAGTTATGAAATATTACAGATTTAAAATCAATATAAGAACTAAGAACGTAGTAATTATCCCTTACTAAGATAAATAGCTGTATTTCAAGTGTTAAGCTTTGTAAACCACTTCGTCCATGTCAAGTTTATTTCAATTGTAAATATTTATATAATATGTAATAAATAAAATTACCTTTTATGTATAATATGCGTTTGTGCCTATAAGAATTTTTTGAATTTATAACTTCCTAATATGCAGGGTTATAGGATGGAAATATAAATAAAATGCATTGTAATCAGAAAATTGACATTATTTAACCATTAAACATATGTGAATCGTAGCATTAATGATGTCTCAAAGATGCTACCTATTGGCACCGTACTTGCCATCAAAAATCCATTGTCGCAGATTTTGACACCACCCTTTTTTAGATAATCCTGGTGACGTTATTATGTTCGATCGATATAAAAAACTGATGAATGGATCTACCGGTAAAGAATGAAATAAGATGATGATTTTGTCTTTATGGGTATGATTCTGTTTTGATAGATGAATTCGCCGAGGCTATTGATCAATACTCTAATGCAGTGTTGCCATTAAGAAATTTTTGGCCATTTGGCCGTGGCCAATGGCCAAATAACTAGGTATTAATAAATGTATTAATACTTATTAGAATTTGATTGGCATTTGGCCGCGGCCAAGATTTTTTGGCCGGCCAAACCTCGGTCAAACGGCCAAAGCTCTAGTGGTATTGAATTGGAACTACTTAATGTCACACTACTTTAAATCACGCAGAGGCTTATTTGCAATTGGATCAATTTGGAAATGCCACTCGATCGCTCTCGAACATAAACTATATTATGTGAAAAGCATTCTTTTGCATAGGTAAAGCTTTATGCAGGTAAATGTTATCAAAAGGACATTTAGTAACGATTCCGCAAAATCATACAACCATTTTAGTTTTCAGAGTCCAATATTTCCGCATGCCTTCATAATTGCTTAATGCTCCATTTAACTGAAATCTCAACAGTAGTAAGGGTTACAATCTTTGTTGCAAGTTCTCAAGAGTGGCGATTTCGTAAAAAAGTTAAAACTAAAAGAAACGTTTTGGGTTTGTAAAAAAACTGAGGCTAATTATATTGACGATATCAAGATTCAACCTATAAGAGATAAAGTGAAAGGTTGGGTTGCTAAATGTAACATTCCTGAACATACTCTTTGATGGTATAAGACGTTCAAAGTGGATTATATAAATGAAGCTCTTTAAATTTTAATATCGATTTCTTAGTTGGACACGTAAAATGCTATCAGAATCAGATTAATTACCCAAATTGCTCAGAAACTTATGGTTGAACCTAATCTTTGCTAAGAAGTATATCAATTGTATGATAGGTCAATTGAAAGAACTTGAAGAATCTTATCTGCAGTGGATAGCAGAATCTATAATTCTGTTTCAGAATCTTTGCATAACTTGATGTTATCTCCAAAAATATTCTAATGATCATTTGAGAAGTGTATTAATTGTATAGTAGATCAGATTTTGATTTTCATAGAAGAAATTAAAAAAGAATAGTTACTTGCAATAAATGGCAATATCTATAACCTATTCCAAAATCTTTACATAATTTGATATTATTTTTAAAAATATTCACTTAAACAAGTTATGTATCAGAATTGTGATACAGCTCATATATAAATATACTATAGATATAAAGTTAGGCGTAATTATTAACTGTTACTTAATTATGTAATTATCATAATTGCGTTATTTATTTATCTCAATAACTTATTTTTCAAGTACTTTAAATCTTATTTGTCACACCTTATTTATCACATATGCATCACTAACCTGATATATATATTTAAAAATACAAAATGTTGTCTAAAAAGTATACTAATTGTATGGTAGACCAGATTTTGATTTCTATTAAAAAAATTTGCAGAAGAATTATTATTTACAATGGATGATAAATTTTTTAAAATTTTTGCATAATTTGATATTATTTTCAAAAATATTCTAGCAATTTGTATTAATTATATAATAAGCAACATTTTAATGCTTATAAAAGAACTTGAAAAATCATAGATAGTAGAATCAATAATCCTATTTTTAGATTTCTTTAAATAACTTAATAATATTTATAATATCTTTTAAAAAAATATTTTAATAATTATTTAAGAAATATATTAATTGTATAGTAGATGAATTTTGATTTTATGAAAAAAACTTAAGAAGAAACATTATTTGTAATATATATTAGAATTTATAATCTTGTTTTAGAATATTTACATAACTTATATTAATTTTAAAAATATTTTAATGATTATTTGGCTGAAAAAATTTGTATAAAACAATTTTTTTAATATACAATACATTCACAACTTCAACTATTTATATATAAACACAAATTTTAATTAATTAATTCTTAAAAATTTGACATTTTTAAAAACTTATCAATTAATTTTAAAAGCAAAAAAACTAATTATAATAATTTTTGATAAGATTTTAATCAAAAAAATCTTTTATAAATAAACTTGCTAAAGATAAAAGAGATTCTTCAAATTGTTTAAAGGTGAAATTAATTATTTTATTTTTTGATAGTTGTGATCTATCTAATATATAAAATCAACATTAATATCACAAATGTTAAAATGTTTAAATTTTTTTCAAATGAATTTATTAGATAATTTTTAACTATTTTAACTTAAAACAATTCTTGTATTAGTTTATTTAAAAATAAGAATATTGAAACTAAAATTAATGAAAAATTTAGAATTCACCTTTTTTTACTAATGTTTTTTCATATTTTAACATTAAAAAAATATTTTTTTAAAAAATTTATATACATCTTTTTAAAAATTTATATTTATATAAAAATGGTTAACTTAAAATTTTATTTAAATGCTTTAAAATAATAAGAAGTTTTTATATAAAATTCAAATATCTTAACTATAATTATTTCTACTTCTTTGATACCTAATTTTTATTTACTTTGTATATATAAGATTTTAAATATTATTTGTTTAATTTTTATATTAAAACCATTTGTAAAATTGGTATTATCCTTCTTCTTATTTGAACTTTCCTTATCTTCTTCTTCAGTTTCATCAAAAAGAATTTATAATCATAATATATTTGTTATTTATTGTAAATAAACCCAACCATATTTGATAAAAATCAATCTAATCAACTATATTTTAAATGATAAATATATTAATTTTAATGTAATTAACTATATAATATTAATGAATCCTATATATTAACAAAATTTAAAATTTATACCTTTTTTTACAGATAAGTATAAATAAAATCATATTGAGTTTGTTATGAAATATAAAGAATTTTTCTAATGAAACTATGGTTTAATTGTTTAGAAATACTCAAAAAGCATTTTATAAACAAATTTATACAAAAGCAATGGTCATACATCCATATAATAAGATGCTTTTCAACCAAAGATCAATGTGAAGTAGGTCTTTTTTATGGATGGTACCATTTATTGTGAAATTTTAACTGAAATCTTTTTAACATTGAGAATTTATGAAGAGACGCATAAAGAAAGAAGTTAACAAATTGGTAGCTAAAAAAAAATATTACACTAGATATTGTTTGTGAGATAATTCAAATTTTCGTTAATTTAAATTTTCGTTAATTTAATGAAAATAATGCAATAAAATACACTATTTAATTTATTCTTAGAATCATAAAGAATGTATCTGTATATTTTATTCGTTATGCGATAATATTAATATATATATTTTTTTTTTGAGACTATATGTTTTTTATAATATAGTATACTGACACCTAATTGATAGTCATCTGGATAAAATCGATTTATATGTTATAAATTTAGGTAAAAATTAAAAAATCGGATATGGTTAATAAAAAAAAACACCAGCCGCTAGGTGACGTATTAAATACATTTGCTATATTATGTACCTTCCGATCCAAGAAATATTACATAACATTAAGAACTTTAAGAACTTTACAGATTTATAATATTTATTTAATGTTATTTTGACTAAGAAAACTTTTATCAAACCATCATTCCCATGATCAATGTCATTATAATAGACTCATAAATTTGTTAAAGATCAAGCAAACCTAGCAAGAATTTATTGATGGAACAAAATTAATTATTTATTATAGTTCATTTTTGCAATAATATAGTTTAGCAAGAAGCTTGCTTATTTTTCGTAAATTTTAGCTAAAATTTCAGAATCACGGAAAAGTGAATATTCCTAATTTGAAACCGGAAAATTAGTTTCCTATATCCGCAAAAAGCAAAGAAAAAAAAAAGACACGAATTTCGGTTTCAAAATTACCTCATCTCCTACTTTAATAGCATTACCTCCATAAGATGGAAGGAGTACACGATCTCCAGGCTTTACTTGATTCGGAATGTGTTTCCCGTGCTAATTCATTATATAAAACCACGCGTCAGAAATAAAGAGTGACCGATTTTTTAAGATCTATTCAAATTACCTTGTCCAATGCCCCTTTACCAACGGAAATAACTTCTCCTTCATTTAAAGATTCTAGAGATTTTTCAGGGATTAGAATACCGGAAGCAGTTTTCTAGAACAAAAATTTTTAAATTAAGTTCAATCAATGATTAAAGAGAAATACGCGTTATACGATAATTTAAAATATTACCTGTTGTGCCTTGATACGTTGGACAAGTACGCGATCAAGGAGTGGAATTATAGCTTTTACATTCTTGGTGGCTAATGCCTAATCACGATAACACGTCTTTCATTAATATCAATAAGGTTGAAGAAAATTCTGTTTCCAATTAAAAAGTTTTATAAACGCGTACCATTTTTATTATTATTCACCGTTAAATGTTGGTATTTTCTAATTACAGCGGGTCGTCAAAAAACACAGGAAATTAACAAACAAGGACAAAAATTGCACTATAGATAATTTTTTTTTAAAAAAAAAAAAATCTAGATATTGGTTATATCCGTGATACAATTTCACCAATCAGAAAGTTTAAAAAAATTTTGAATATATAAATTCTCTAAAGGCAGGGAAAGTTGGAGAAAGTTCTATATATTCATATTACGTTAATCTAGAAAAAAATTTTCATAGAAATTGATGGAAATTTTCTTGATCACCCAATCAAAAAAATCGATCAAATATTTTAATAAAAAATTTTTTTTTTTTTCGTCCTGTTATTAAAAAGTTTCGTTAAAATAATTTACCTCATAAAGTGAAAACGGTCATTATGCAGCGCGCCTCACAACTTTTCAATAAAATTCCTTTTACAAATTTGTCACCTTCTTTATCTATAGTATCTAGGAATTCTTCTAAAAGGCCATTCTTATCGCGATTTTATGCCACTCATAAAGAACTTAAATTTGGAGTCGAAGGTCGTGCCTCATTATTAAAAGGTGTTGATATTCTATCTAAAGCAGTAGCGGTTACACTTGGCCCCAAGGGACGCAGTGTGTTAATCGAACAACCATATGGTAGCCCTAAGATCACAAAGGACGGTGTTACTGTTGCTAAAAGTATAACACTTCAAGACAAATTTGAAAACCTTGGTGCGAGGTAAATAAAGATGTACTGTTTTTATTTCTGAATTACGATGGATTTTTTGAATACGAACATTATTATCGGAAACATTATGATCCAATATACCTTGTAAATTAAAAAAAAAAAAATCGATACGCGTTCGTGTCGCGAAATGCATATCAACGCTTTATATATAATTAATTAATAATATCTATTTTATCTTATTTTATTTATTGATCTCGTTAGGTTAGTTCAGGATGTTGCTAACAAAACAAATGAAGTAGCAGGTGATGGAACCACAACTGCTACAGTTCTTACGCGAGCCATTTTTGTGGAAGGTGTAAAAAATGTTGCCGCCGGCTGTAATCCAATGGATTTACGTCGTGGAGTTCAATTGGCAGTTGATTCTATTGTCAAATTTCTTCGAGAACATAGTCGTGTTATTACCACAAGCGAAGAGATAGCTCAGGTATATATATATTTTACATAAAAATTAATTTGGATATATTATTCGTTATAGCGGTGTATTTATCGTGCAAATTGTTATTAGGTTGCCACAATCTCTGCAAATGGTGATACGCATGTCGGTCAATTAATAGCCAACGCTATGGAAAAAGTAGGAAAGGAAGGCGTTATCACGGTAAAAGAAGGAAAGACAATTGAGGATGAGTTGGAAATAACCGAAGGAATGCGTTTCGATCGAGGATACATATCACCGTATTTTATCACTGATGCCAAAACTCAAAAGGTTGAATTTGAAAAGCCTTTAATTCTACTCTCTGAGAAAAAAATTTCGGTCTTACAAGATATTCTACCAGCATTGGAAGCTGCAGCACAGCAACGTAGACCACTTTTAGTTATTTCTGAAGACATTGATGGAGAAGCTTTAGCTGCTTGCATCTTGAATAGATTACGTGGCAACGTTCAAATTGCCGCCGTCAAAGCTCCCGGTTTTGGTGATAACAGGAAGTCTATCTTGGGTGATTTGGCAATATTAACAGGTGGAACAGTTTTCTCGGATGAGCTAGACATCAAACTCGAACGTGCTACTCCTGATCTTTTCGGTTCAACTGGTTCTGTTACCATCACCAAGGAGGATACAATTCTTCTTAACGGTGAAGGTTCCAAAGATATGATTAATCAACGTTGTGAACAAATCCGCGCTGCTATTAATGATTCAACCGTTTCCGATTATGAGAAAGAAAAATTACAAGAACGACTTGCTAAGTTATCAGGTGGTGTGGCCGTTATTAAAGTAGGTGGATCCTCAGAAGTTGAGGTTGGCGAAAAGAAGGATCGGTTTGTTGACGCCTTAAATGCGACGCGTGCAGCCGTCGAAGAAGGCATTGTGCCAGGTGGTGGTGTTGCTCTCTTGAAATCTGTAAAATGTCTTAATGAATTGAAACCTGTCAACTTTGATCAACAACTGGGTATAAACATAATTAGATCAGCACTTCAAAGACCGGCAAAAACGATTGTAGATAATGCAGGTGAAGAAGGTGCCGTTATTGTTGGGAAACTTTTAGATAATCATGGAGATGATTTTAATTATGGTTATGATGCCGCCACTGGTGAATACGGCGATCTTATTACGCGTGGTATTGTGGATCCATTGAAGGTTGTAAGGACAGCACTTGTTGATTCTTCGGGTGTTGCTAGTCTGCTAACGACAACGGAATGCATGATTACCGAAGCTCCAGGTTTGTAAAATTATTATTCATTTTTTGAATTCTAGTAAAAGAAAAAAATTAATTTTTATGCGTTCGTTTATTTGTAGATGAAAATAAGGGAGGAGCTGCAGCTGCAGGTGGAATGGGAGGCATGGGAGGCATGGGAGGTATGGGAGGTATGGGTATGATGTAATGGGTAATTGCCTCATTTGTAAGTATTTTGACATCGAAATCGAAATGTATAAATTTAAAATCGAAAATTATATATTATTTTATTTTGATTCATTCTCATACATGGAAAAAAAAAAAATTTTTTTTTTTTATTTTAATTAATTAGAATGAAACACATTGGTAGAGATATAACAAATATTGATAAATGGCTTAAAACAAATTTCGAAAAATTAAAAATTATTTAGGTATACGAGCTTTTTATAATTAATACTTTATGAAAGTTTTTTATGTGTTCATAAAATGTGTTTATAATGTTTAACATTAAAAATGAATTTGGCCAAATTGTTAATCTTTTTTTATTTTTATTTGAGTTATATTTGTAAACTAAATTTTGTCAACGATGCTTCAGATAAAGATATATAATTAGAATATAAATCTGAAAAATTTATTTACAACCTATTGTACATTAAAATGATGCATGCTATGATTTTTTTTCATAAATTGGTAATATAATAAATAATTAATTAATTATACGGAATGCAAGGGTGAATTAAGTAAAGTAGTATTATTGTATTGGGGATAATAGGCATTATTAAGATCATTTTCATATATATTTAATTCTTCCACGGAAGGAGCTGATGGCACAGGTGAAATGAATCCATCCCAAGGAATTACATTACTATTATTATCACAATGTTGACTAAGTTGTGAATCTGGTAAACTAATTGATAAAAATGAAGGAGAAGGACCAATTGAATTATTTGAAGAAATGATAGTCCATTCACTTGAACGCCTAGCATGACTACGAGAAGAGAAATTAGGGATAGGAAGACATGAAACTGAAGGATTTTGCATATCAATTTGTCCATTATTGCTATCACAATTGTTACTGTTGGTAGTACCTATTACCAGTGGTATATTAAAATAACCATTATATCTTCCCAATTTTTTCCTAAGATGAGTATAATTATGTTTCCCTATCCTACTTGAGGATTCAAATATAGTTTTCTTAATTGTTAAATCTACATGAACTTCTAATAAATATGATACGAAAAAAAATTTCCCATTACTAATTGTTGGCGGTATTTCATTTGGTATTGTTAATTTTGTATTAATTATTGTTTCAAGTGAAACTGGATCAATTAGAATAGGCGAAACCGTCGATGCTACTACTTCACGTACAACTTCTTCTTTGCTAGATATCATCAATCAAAAGGAAAATCAACATTATGTTTTTGGATAAAAAGAATCGTTCGAATAAGGAATGGCGATACTAACCCATCCCTTAGTATAATTTTTGTTCTTCTATATAAAGCTATAAGCACGCCTTCAAGATTCTTGATTGGAACAATATGGCTAATATGAATACGAATCGGAAGTGTTTCACCTTTAAAGATCAATTAGATTATATATAAATGAAAACCTTTTTCTATAAAGGAAAAAAAAAACGAAAAATATAATCTATTCCTTTGACGATATTTACCTCTCATAATTGCCCCTTTTGGTATTTCAACATTTGTATGAGCTAAACCATGCCTATTTTTCTTCCCCTTAACTTCAATTTGAAAAGGTTTAATTATTGGTGGGGGATAATTTGATATATTTATGTGATCTAATACTTTAATCTCTGTAAAACATTTCGGCAATAACGCTTCTGATAACCATGAAACTGTTTGTATTGTTGCTTTTAAAGTATACGTTATTGTGTATCCGGAAAACTATAATACATACACACGCACAAAAAATATATATATATATCATAAACCAAATGTATAAAATTTTAAATTAGTAAAGGAATAATAATTACCGTACAAGACGATGGTATATCATCAGTTGGTAAATTCAATGAGAATGAAAAGCGTTGATTCTTTTTTCGTGCTCGCACAAGCTCTTCTACCGGTATTTCCTTTTCAAAAAGATGAAACTCATGATCTTTAGCTTCTAATGTGACCTTTCCTTTGAATTTAAGTCGAATGGCCGACTTTTTTACGGGTTTGGAACTTTTTAAAGTAATAACTCCTAAATTTGGATTTGAAAACCGAGTGAATAAAGGTTTATTCAAACAACAAACAACGTTATACAGTTGAGTGATAAATTCGGACGTACCACAAACTTCTTCACCAGGAAAACGTTCTCTTGTGGGTTCTTCAATTCGAATATAAAAATCAGAAAAGTATGATGCAAGAGCCTGCATTTGATGTTTGTGAAAGATTGGACACGCGTTTTAAAATTTCTTGAGGATCGAAGTAGGAAAAAAGAAAAAAAAAAAAAAAGAGAATAAAATGGATGATTTTCTTTTTTTTCTTTTTACCCTTTTTATTTAACGTATTTGGGAAGTGATCTCCATCATAAAATGGATGAAATGGGTGAAAAATGATTGTTGATCTGTTTGGTTTTATTTATAAACCTTTTTTTTTTTTTTTTTTATTTTCAAAATTTAACAACCTTAATAATAATAATAATAATAATAATATGGTTTTAATATTCATAATAATGGTAAAAAATATATTTATTTCTAATAATGAAATTACGCATTCTCTTTACTTTCTAATTCTTTGTATTTTACAAAGGGTATATCCGGATCTGGCAAAAGTCATCTTGGAAATTTAATTTCACATGAACTTGATGCCCCTTTCATTGAAGGAGATGACATTCATCCACCTTCCAATGTTCAAAAAATGTCATCAGGGATTCCACTCAATGACCAAGATCGAGAGGTTTGGTTAGATGCTATTAAAACGGAAATCACAAACATATCTAAATCATCTTCAAGTAGACCATATTTTTTTATAACTTGTTCCGCGTTAAAATTTCAATATCGGGAATTTCTTAGTAAAGTTACTAATGATGATTTAAAAATTTGGTTTATATATTTAAAAGCAAGTAAAGAGGTATTAAAGCAAAGGATGTTAAATAGACAGAATCATTTTATGAAGGAAAACATGTTGGAATCACAATTTGAAACTTTCGAAGAACCTAAGGATACTGAAGAGAAAATTATTATTATCGATGCTAACAGGGAAGATAATGAAATTAAAGAAGACATTCTTAAAAAAATAAAAGTTCTTGATTTATAAAATTTTTTAATGAGTAAAATAGATGATTATTTAATTATTCTTATTTTTTGTTTTTTTTATTTATATTTATATCAGTAAATTTTTATAATAAAAAAAAAAAATTTTTTTTTAATATAAACAAGTTTGCTTTAGTGTAAATAGAGTTTAGTAGATCATTTTCTTTGTGTATCGGATTATTATTCATCCTTCGGGACGAGATAGGTTATTTTTGACTGTAAGTTTGCTTATTCCCCATAGTTAGGTTAGAGCCATTTTCCAGAGATTTACAGCCTCAAAAAAAAAAGGTAGATCGGCACTAATAAAAAAAAATAATATCCGATATTTTAATAATCGAAAATGAAGAGACAAAGTCATCAGATAGAAATGAAGAATTTAAATTTAGAAACAAAAAAGGGGAGAGACGAATCAGGCTAAGCCACAATGACATCATGGATTCGCGTTTTAACTAAGGACGCGTGATGTTTAATGCATGAAATTAACAAAGTACGTGACTTCATTTAAATAATACAAATATTAGGAAAAAATCAAATTATCAAAATAATACATAATGAAAATGATATCAAATAACTGACGTGCATCGTTGTATTATTAAACTCATATTTAACAATGCGTATTGTCCCCGATTAACAATTAAGGATTTTCAAACAATACAGAATAAGGTATATTTAAACGTGCTATTTTAACTTAAAAGCACTCATGAAAACAACCCGATCCTTCATTTGTGTATATAAAGCCGATTTTTTTTTTTATTAAATCATTTCATCAAGAAACTCTTTTTATTTTTTTAAAAGAAAAAAAACTTGTTAACGGCACGCATCAAAAAATATTGGATCCCTTCGGTTTAACTGTTATATTACCGTTTTTTCCTTCCTTTTATAAAGGTTCTCTCTTTATTTTTGGGTTTGAACATGACCACTCACGTAAAACATCGAGTAAACATGCCAACTATTTATAATCAACTTAAAGTGAGAGTACCAGATCAATTTCTTGTGGAACAAGTAATTAATTCTGTAGGAAAAGAAACTCTCGAAGTGATCTTACGACAAGTATTTTTACCTATAAAGGAACTAATCGCCCCATTACCAAAAAAATTACGCTCAAATAAAATTCCTAGACCTCAAAATCATTTTTTAATTTATCGAAGGGATTTTCAAGCTAAATTAATTTTTGAAAAAGGTTCAAAATTCGCCTCAAAATTAGATTACGTTTCAAAAGATGCTTCAAAAAGTTGGGGCAAGATTTCTACCGGTATTAAGAATATTTATGTTTGTTTGGCTCAATTGGCCAAAAAAGTTCATGCTGCGACTTACCCGGGATACGTTTATCAACCGAAAAAAAGGATCGAAAGAATCAACCCTATCACCATTTCTTCTTTTAAAATTTCTGGTCTTTCGAATATTGAATCTTTTATGGATTATTCACTTGATCTCTCTTTACCTATTCTCACTTCACCTGCTCATCATCCATGCTATCCTTTCATCAATACCACCACCACTTCTCCAATTTCATCAGATTGTGCATCTTCTAACGGTGCAGAACGTAAGGATTCACCATCGAAAAAAAGTTTTACCTCGACTACGATTAATGAATGTTCTGATCCCCGTTTTCTCTTACCTCAACTTGAACATTGTCTTCCTATTTACATAACTGATCCTTATGACCGTAAAATGGTCGATCAATTACCCTTGACATTTAATTAGTACAATTTCACACAATTACAAGTGAATAAAGAAGTCATATCATGATGGTTTTTGATTGGTAATGTTATAAATTATTAATTTTTGACAGCTGTCAAATTATGGATAAATATCGCTAACAGGCTTTTAACCGAAAGAGTTCGGATGTCATGTGACAATATATCGGGTTGAGATAGATAATTTTTTTTTTTTCCGATTATCAACAATATATATATATTTATAATCATGCATTTTTATTGTTAAAATTTTTTAATTGAAATTATCAAAAAAATATATATAGTATATATTATATAAATAAATAATTCTAAAAAAAAAAAAAAAACGTAATTTTTTTTTGTTTTTTATTTTTATTTTATTTTATTTGTCTAATTATTTGATTTTAAAAAGGTTTCTATTTTGCTTATCCTACCTGATCGAAATTTTATGACTTGTGATTGGAGAAAAATGCTATTTAAATACTCTTTTGATTATTACAATCACTATTATTTCAATAAAAAGAAATATCCCTTATATAATTAAAAGTTTCGTAACAATAATTTATTTTTCTACCATAATAATTGTGAACGTTGTTTTGCAATATCTGTTTTAAAAGGCTCATTAATAAATCATTATGGATATTAAATAAAATTAAATTAACATGGTCGTACCTATAACTCTCCATCCGTTAGTTACTGGATCTGCCAAAGTATCTTCCTGTTTTGTCATTGCACAAGCATATGAATTGTAGTCAATTTGATCTTCACGTCCATATACTATTTCATTTGTTATTCGATCACGAAATATGACTACTTCTTGAGTATTAAAAGACATAACTAATACTGGAATACCGTTCTCTAGAATTTTGGCTGTCGCCAACTATATTAAAACCAAGAATGATTAGTATCATATAAGAATCTTTTGCAACATTTAATTGGTCATAATGGATACCTCTACATCTCTTATATCAAGAATTCTTGAATCACTTATGAGACCTTGTTGTATTTGTGCTTGGATACCATGAGTTAAAACACTAAATGTCTATATAAACATAATAATAAAAAAGTTCCTTTGTTTGAATCATTGACCGAAAGATATCATTATTCTTTTCATTTTTTAAAAAAAAAAAAACCCCGCACCGCTTCAGAACACCATTCTTTTAACGTGCTTGTATCTCCTTTTAAATGCGCTTCCATTAATTCAGGAATAATATATTCTCTTGCTTCTTTCATAAACTCTTCTAAATTAAACCGCGGATCGATCATTCTTAATTGTGATATAGCTTGAGCTGTTTCGTTTTCCTCAAAAATCGATCCTTATGATAATTTAAGTAAATTTATAAAATTTCGTCATAGAATAAATATATCAAAATATAATTATCTACATACCCAGCGTACTCGAAATACGATCAGTGAAAGCTCTAGTATATGCAATAAACGTATTATCGCTGTCCTCATAATTCCTTTTGATACTAAAAATTCCTTTATGTATTAAAGAATAAATAAATAAAGTAGCATGATTCATTAAAACCTCTGCATAATCTATTTGTAATAAAAAAAAAAAAAAAATAGATAAATTACCTTGAACAATTGGATTGGTATCTTTAAACTTTTTCCAACTTTCCTTCCATGCAGAGTCTTTGTGCAGTACTATAGATGATCCAGCTCTATTTATTCAGGATTTAAATTATAAACTAATGAGCATAAGAAACCATATACAAACTGATCAATAAATTAAATCAGCAAAGCAAAAAAAAAAAGATATAATATATTTATATTTTTATAGTTATGAGGGAATCTTACTCTGGATCTGTTTCAACTACTCTCCTTGATCCAATATTTGATTTTATGGCCTCCTCTTTCATCTTTCTCCTTGTCTCCTTGTCAACGAACCCACCGTAAACCATCGAATCGTTACCGACAGTTTCCTTCAAAGAATCACGAATGTTTGTGTAAACCTTTGTTTGTCTTATTGGTTCAGTTGTGGTGGATACTTTTTCAGAAAATTGAGAAATCTTAACGAAAGAAATTATAAAACGCGTTAAATAACCGAAAGCTACGAATGTTTTTTATATCTATACGACTAACCTTTTCTTTACTATCTTTGACAAATGGAGTTTCACCAACTTTATCGATCGTTTCCGATACAGTTGATCCGATCTTCTCGGCAGATTTTTTAATTTCATCCATGGACTTTTTAAGTTTCTCTGATCCCAGGGTTGTGGTATTTTCTGCGCCTTCCTAAATCATAAATTAATACGTTCGAACGAATCGAAAAGTAAATTGAACAATCAAGATCTGATAAGATATATTGTTAAGCGAATTTGGTTGCTAAAAAAAAATGAAATGTTCATACTTTAGCTTTTGTATAAACTTCTTTAGCTTTTCGTAATGCGTCGGATTCTCCAAATTGTCCTGCCTGATCTTGTAATAATTTCACATTTTGCTGAAGCTCTTTGTTCTTTTGTACTTGTTCTTTTATTGTCTCAACAAACTTTTCAAAAGGAGTTGTATAATATCGTGGTTGTGCAAAACGATAATTCTGTCGTATAAATAAACTCGACCTTGCTCTCAAGGTATTAGAAAATGTAAACGTTACGTTTGTTCGTAAGGCAACTGAGCTAAATATACGTTGGGAAGCCATTATATTAATTGATTTTTTTAAAAAAAAAATAATAAGAATAATAAAATAAAATAAAATAAAATAAAAAAGAAAAAAATAATTTTTTTTAAAATTAAGAAAAAAATTAGATTTCGTTTTTTTTTTTGAGATTTGATAACCAACAAATTTTTGATTTTCGGATCAGTTTATGTAGATCGTGCATAAATTTCCAACTTAAAATCTGACACCTTGCTACTCTCGCCTTTTCTGTTGTTTAGATTGTATCATTATAATGTCTTTGCAAACAGCAGATCTCACCTCTACACCACATTCTTCTTCCACTTCTTTAAACACAACACTAGTTGAAGCTCCTACACCTTCACAGAACCCAACTCTCGCCCTTGAAAAGTATAAGAAGAAAGATGCTGCTAAAGGTAACGACTTTGCAGGCAGATTACTAAACTTTTAATACATTATTAATCGAATTTTATTTTTTTTACTTTTAGTCATAGTTCGTTTTCGAGCAATCGGAAATGCCCCAATTTTAAAACAAAACTTGTATAAAATCAGTGCCTCCAATAAATTCCAAGCTGTCATTCAGTTTTTGAGGAAGGAACTTAATTATAAAGCTTCCGAACCACTGGTAAGAAAAGAATATATATTTAAATTTGACCATATCAAAAACTAATGATTCAAATATTTTTTGCTTTACAAACAGTTCTTGTACATAAACAGTGCATTTTCTCCTGCTCCAGATGAAATAGTTGCCAATTTAGTCAAGGTATTTTTAAAGTATTGTTTTAATGATATTTTTTAAAGTATTATAAAATTTTCATTTCATTTTTTTTTTTTTTTTTTAAAGTGTTTCAATACAGATGGACATTTGATAATAAATTATTGTACAAGTGCAGCTTGGGGTTAACTTTTTATATAACAAACCTCTTAACATTGCATTTTTTGAAATAGTAATTTCGCATTTATTTTTTCTTTCTAATAATAATATGTATTTCTTATAATGATTTATTAATTTATAATCAGAACGTGTGAATCAAGATTTGGATAGATAATAAGCGGGTCGATAATCCATTAGGAGGTTATATTTTGATTTTTACATATAGATGAAATATGGTTGCAATTGTAAGTAATTAATAAAATAAGATTAGATTGATTTGCTCTGCATTAATTTTTGTATAATACTTTTAATGGAATTTTTTTAGATATTTTTTTAGTTAATTTAAATTTTTTTTTTGAAAAAAAAAAAAAAAAATAAAACAATATAATCATCAAATACATATATTAAAATTTTTAATGATGCACATGAAAAGTGTGTGTGATGGGAAAAAAAAAATGGATTTAAGGGGAAGTATGTATTAAAAAATGCTATATAAAAATAATAAGAAAAAGAAGAAAACAATTAACACAGCAAGAAATTTCAAAAAAAAAAAAAAAAAGGAATATGAACCTTTGAAATATATTTCATGAATTCAAATTCTCTGACTGTAAGTAAAGAGAAATGAATAACTTGTGAACAAAACTTTAATAAGAAATACAGAGATATAATTCGATAATAAAATACCTTATTTAATTTCATTAAAATTTGCCAATATTATGTAATTGAAAAAAAAGGAAATAATTAAAAAAAAAAAAATTAAATACAAAGAAATATAATTTCGTTCTTAGATGTGTAATTTTTTTTCTAGAACTACGATAAAAAGAAAAATATATATTAATTTTAGAAAATCAAATAAAGAAAAATATTTGTTACCATTACTTTTTAAGGCAAAACACCTGAATTCGAGAAATTTGATGGTGACTCTATAAAGAATTTACATTACTGATTTACATATAATTTAAAAATATAAATAACAACAAATGATGTTCAATATAGTTCAAGCTCAAGCTATTTATGAAGAAAAAAAAAAGTAATAATAATAAAGTTCATTAGATACGATTAAAAAAATCAGCGAGTTAAAGATGATAAGAATGATTAATAATAAATAACCAAAGGAAAGAAATGTGAAAAGAAAAAGGATACAAATAAAAAAGAGTTTCGTCGCGGATCCCTGAAATTAAGTCCCTGCGGATTATATAAAGTTATATTTTCATTATCTAGAAATTTACATATTTCTTCCACTTTCTATTTAAATATATTAACATCAGATTAATATAATACTTAAATTCGCAGATAAAGGAACAAAAATTCTTCCTTACCCGATCGAAATGCGACCGTAAACACAGCGTTGATGTATATATCGTTAAACAGGCAAGACAATTGTCGAACATATTATATCTTGGATTATGAGCTTTTGTTAACATTTCATTTAAAATATTTATTGTTTGTTGAAATCTCCTCGGATTGACCTAAATTTTTTAAAACAAAATTAAAAAGGTACTTTTGAGGTTCCTTATAAATATTAATAATAATAAACAATTTACCCGCCCATCAATCTCTAAAGGAAAAGCCGTTTGAAATTGACACAGTTCTCCACTCGTGTAATCTCTGTCTATTCGAATTATTTGTTTAGGTTCGACAGCTTCGGAAGTGTTTAAATTCGATGATAATGCGTCTGGTTGTTCAGGACTTATTGACGAACTTGAGCTTTCCATTTCTGCAAGTCTTAGAGCCAACTTACTGTCTTCAACAATCTCTCTGCTTTTTGGGGAAACGTTTGTGTCTGAGTAATGAGTGTGAAATTGAGAGTCTGACGAGTTGTGGTTTTCGGGTTGAAAGAACATTGTCTTAGATTTATACGGGCTTGAAGAAGTGGTAGAAATCGTTTGTGAAGTGAGTATATGGTCTAACTGTAGCGCAGTTTGCGCTTTTGGTGACTCAAGTGAACTAGTTGTTTTTGCTCCAACCTCTGTTGTGCTCAACTGACTGGTGTTACCTATAACAGCGTTCTGCGTTGAGGTTGTTGCTACCATCGACGAGTAGGTATTACCGTCCTCCTTTTCACCCTCAACTTGAGTTTCTCTCTTCCATGATGGAGCTACCTTTTCCTCTGCCACATATTTTTGTTTATCGTCTTGGCCAACCTTGTTGTCCATTTATTGGAAGAAAGATGAAGAAAGTAACACTTGCCAAGATTCAACTTTGCATAATCGGAAGAATAGTAAAAAATCAGTTCTATTCGTTCCATAAAGACTAACTAGGATCTCGAAAAAAATTTTGTTAAGTTATGGAATTGGCACAAAATGCAAGGCTACGTCACTCATACTGCAAAAAAATTTATCAGGTATGATTTGTACAATCAAAAAATGTCCGCATATTCGCGGGAAATTTTACATTCTATATTCTTTAATTTAAAAAAAACAATAATTAAACATATACAATTTTTTTAAAAAAAATAAATTTACTTGAACTTGAAAAAACTGGTATTTATTTATTTTTAAACGAGAATTTTATATTATAATCAGGTTTGAATTTTAAAATTTTACCTTTGGGGAAAGATCTTTTAGCTTTTTTATTATTTGTAATACAAAATTTTTTTGTTTATTTTTTTTTTTTTTCTTTAAAAAAAAAAACTTTTTTTAAATTACTTGTTTAATCATATTTCGGTAAATTCAGTAACAAATGAAATAAATGATTTATTACTATAAAAACACATAACAACAATAATGTAATGCAAGGAATAAAGTATAATTATATCTCCTGTCCGGGAATTGTTCCTTCTTGGATATGATACTAAAACTTATTTGATCAAGTTTTCGTCATCAATAATTATAGACATCGTTTTGAATTGCAAGGTTAGCAAACATCTTTTTGTCAGAGAACAGGTACTTATTCAACTTACGATACAAAAGTCTACAAGTATTGTTTATTAACATATTCTAAATAAAGAAAACCTGTAGAAAGGAATCCATTTTCTAACTATGTTTATTATTCAAATTAGGATATGTGAATCCCAATCCCCGTCTAATGCCTTCTGTATAATTCGTCTTTGATGGTTGTACCAACATCATTAAAGTTAACCCCTATTCGTACATAACTATTGGAAATTCAATTTGAACATGGCCAACCAAACATTAAATTCAATCATTTCGTATTATTCCGATGTAGCGCGATTTGTTTTAAGCAAACATGTATTACCTTATGAGTTCTAAACTATTTATAGAAATGATATATTTAATAATTTTTAATTTCCATCAATCACCTGTTAAATAAATTAATTATAACCGCGTAACCTTCACCAAAAAACGTACAAGCATTTCGGAGACCATCTGAAATTTATCAAGGTCATTGTTGACAAACGCTGGTTAAGACAACTTAAAACTTTTCATATTTATCATTATTAATATAATATTTGTTATTTCAAAATAATCCTTAATTTCGTTTTAATGTGTTGATAAAGGAAAAAAAAAAAAAATAGCTGACAAGAAAAAATGGGGAAATTTCATTGGTTAATAATACAATCTCGCGAATCTTAATTTAGTGATTAATAATAAACGGATTAATCCGAAAGTTGTTCGGTTCGGTTCATTCCGAACCGAAAAAAAACTGAACCGAACCGAAATTTCGGATTTATCCAATAGAAGTAAAATTCGGAATTCAGATCCGATAAATCCACATAAATAATTATTTTTATAGTCAAAATTATCTTTGTTTTAGAAATATCGTTTACTAATGTGTATCATTTACTAATATTTTCATAATAAAGTTCACTTTCAAAACGTTTAAAGGAATTTTTAATTTAAAAAAAGATCTAAAACATTATAATTGATTTTATTTAAATATATTATTTATTATTTAATATAATATAATACAGATCCTTCGGGTTTAATTTTATAAAGGTGTGCTATTACAAAAAATCGGATCTCGTAATTATGTAATAGAACTTAATGTAATTAAGTTAATATTTCTCTCTTTTTTTTAGATCCTTTTCAGTTCTGAATTCTAGGCGGGGGTTTTTTTTTCTTCCCTATAAAAACACGTTGTCTATAAAAAATTGTGTATTCTAACCATATAATATCTAGGGTGTTATCTAATTAAACGAAATGTAATTATACAAATTAAGGCTTAAAAAAGGTCCCCTTTGTGTTTAAAAGATGCTGCAAGGATTTATTAAATTTAATTTTTTTTAGTAATCTTTTTAATTTTCTTCAGACTCCTTGTATTATCCTCTTCAATTTTTGTAGCCCAATTAATATATGCTAGCATATGAATTTTTCTTTCAAATTTATAAATCAAGTAATATTACAAAATAAATTCAAGAGTTTTTCTTGAAAAGGCAGCCCATTTATCTACTTTTATGCCTATATATAATGAATTGATAATTTTATAATTTTAATATTAAAGGATTGTAATTTAAATGTATATATATTAGCACTGAATATTTAGTTTAAATCCAATTCTGATTTCTTTTAATCCATTATTTAAAGACTATTTTCGTAGATATTTATATTTTGTATCACATTTGAAAAAATCTGAAATAAAAATAAGGTTATTATTAAAAATATATACAGAGACTATAAAATGTATAATCCATCTTTTAAAAATGTATTACAAAATAACTAATATATAAATTTTATTTTTTTATTTTATTAAATTACAGATAAAATTTTGTTAAACTGCTATTTATTACAAAAATAGCTTGAATATAATAAGTATAGACTTAATAAAATTATAGTAATAATTTATAAATACTGCATCCTATTTCTTTTTAACCCATTGCTTTAATTGTATAATACTTAATAATTGTGAATCACATTTATAAATTTTAATCTTGATATTAAATCATGTTTATAAATTCTAACCTTAATATATAATTAAATATTTTTTATCAGATTAATATTGAGCTTGAGCTGATCATAAAATATTTCAATATTTGAGAATTTGAGAAAAAAATGAATAACTCTTAGGTTTATTATCTTCTTGAAAAAACTTTTTGATTTTTTTATATAAAATTTAACTGTAGAAATCATGAAAATAATCAAACTTCATAATATTTCAGTTATGCAACTAATCAAAAAACTAAAGAACTTATACTGATCTAGAAAAAATACTTTAAAATATGTGTCTCAAAGCTTTTTTAAACTGTAGATGTAATACAGTCTTTATAAATTCTTCAAAAATATTTACTTAAAATCTAAGATTATGAATAATGATAAATAAATTTATTTAACAAACTATTTTTAAAATTTTCTATTATCTAATTTTTATAAATTGAGTCTAAAGTAAATATTTTATTTTATTTCTTTTAGAAAATTAATGGATTAAAAAGAGAATATATAAGTGAAAATCTTATTTAGCTAATTTATTATAAATGGTTTATATAGAAATAGTTTATTATTTTGTTTTTAACATTTAAACTAAGAATAATCCTTATAATTATTTTCAAATTTCAATTAAGTTGCAACTTAATTACATCATAAAAAAATATAATTATGTTATAAATTGCAATTAAATTACATTATTTTTTAATTATAATGCCTACCTTTAATTTTAAATATATTTGAAGAGAGTTTAACCAATATTTTTTATTTTTAATTACTGACTACTTGAATTATTTACATTTAAACTTATTAAGAATTTATAATTGATTTGTTTATTTTTTAAAAATTCTTTTAGCTTTTATGATTTATATACACATTATATAAAAGAAATAGAACAATTGATGACTGTGAAAATTTTGTTATTTGTATTACCTAACTTTTTATTATGTTAATACCCTTTTTAAATTTTCATTAAGTTTTTTTTAAGATATATTTATGGTAATAAAATTTTTTAACTATAAATTAAAAATTTTTTATTTATTTATGTGATTTACTTTATATTTTATAATGATACATTATTTATTTTAACAAAAATCACGATTAACAAAAAATAAAAAATATAGCTTAATTTAATAAGTATATGATAACACACACTATGCTTAAATCATATTATATAGTTAATATTTTTTAAACTTTTCTGTAAATTCAATTTCTTTATTTAATAAAATCTAATTTTATATTTAAATTTTAAATTATTAAACTTGTAATCTAAAACTAAATCTATTATTATTACTTTTTTCTATAGTAATTTACATTGATAATTCTATTGACATATAAGATTTAGGATTTTTAATATAAAGTGTTAACCTTCAGAATCTTAAAATCTTATTATATATATTGAAGTTTATTTTTAATCAGTAGACTTTATAATTGACTTGTATAACAGTATGTATTATCTTTCTTTATTGAATATTAAATTATTTTAAAATTTTGACTATATTTATATGCTAAGAAGAATTGATTACTATCTTGTAATTTAATTGTTATTGAATTATTCAACATTCTGTCTATGCTACAATTCATAAATCATATATTATTACTTTTTAAATACAATTTGATAAATATTATTAATATAAAATATTTTAGGTTTTTTTTTTTAATTATTTTTAATATAATAATTATATATGATTTATTATTATATTAAATAATAATATATAATTTTGACTTTTACTAAATATAATAATAAATTGTTTAAGTTATATATCTAAGAAAATTAATTTAAAATCATTTAATGATATAAGAATTTTTTTATATAAGGGTTAAATATTAAGGATAAAAAAAATTGCTTGAACCTAATAATTTCATTAAATTAATTGATTTCAGGTTTACATTTTCGGATTAAAATACAGAGTTTTATTTATAATAATATTGCTTATAAAATATAGTTAATATCACTAAAACGTAAATAATATAATTAATATCTTAATATTTTAAATAAAGAAATTAGGATTCTTGAAATATTTTTATCGTTAAAAAAGAAAATCCTCTTATAAATATATTATAAATATATTTTTTTAAAGAGATTATGCACAATTTTTTTTGACATTTCGGAAAATCCAAGTTGCAGCAAGTGTAATATCCTAAAATTTCGGCCAACCACCAAAAAAAAATTTTTTTTTTTTTTTTTTTATTATTTAAGCTAAGTTAGATCTGATGAGATTACATCAAAAAAATTTTTTTCAAGAATTTTTTTTATCAAAAGATGTCCGCACAAACTCTAATAGGAGTAAGTCGTCGCAATTCATATAAAAATGCTTTTGCATTTGCAAATGTGACATTAAAGTCTTTTCTACGGAACAAACCAACTTTCGATTTGAGATCAGAGTTACAGCATTGTTAGTTTTTATTTATTCAGTATATAAAGCGAATTTTATGATTTATATTTGATTTATCAATATCTTTTCTTATGATTATGTTTAATTCGGTCGATAGCTTCAGTGAATCGAGGGTATTCTACCTTAAACGTGTTGAAAAATAAACGGTTCTCTTTTGATACGCGTTTATCAACTGGATTAAATACCTCGCAACAACTTTTTTTTATTCGTACATATGCTAAGTTAGCACGAACAACAAAAGAAAACATAACAGAGAATGAAACAGAAACGCAAGAATCTAATGAAGAGGATTCCTCTATTATAAACAAAGACGAATATGTTCCTTTACGGTTTGATGATATTAGTTCAATGTCATCAAATACAAAAAAAGCCTTACAAAAAGTGTTTAAATATCATGAGATGTCAAAAGTTCAGGACGCTGTATTATCAAAATTACCAATCGAGGGTGATTTATTTGTAAAGGCAAAGACTGGAACCGGCAAGACCTTGGCATTTTTGATACCAGCTATAGAAACCATAATTCGTAACTCACAACCCGGAAATAGAGGAGAAATGGTTTCAGTATTTATTATTTCCCCAACTCGCGAATTAGCACAACAAATAGCCAATGAAGCGACTCGACTTTTATCTTATTATAATTATAAAGTTCATTGTTTAGTAGGCGGTGAGAGCAAAAGCGCTCAAGTCAAAAAATTGTCGTATCAAAGAGTAGATTTTGTTGTAGGTACCCCAGGCAGATTGTATGATCTATTAACAAGCGTATCAAATTTTACAAAGCAATGTAGAGGCGTAAAAACTGTAAGTCATTCAAATTTCACATTAATTATATTTTTTTTGATGTAAAATATCTTCCATTATTTTAATTTATTTTCTCATTGGGGGTTTTTTGTTTAACTCGGATAGTTAATTCTTGATGAAGCAGACCAGTTATTAGATATGGGTTTTCGAGAAGATATTCAAAATATCGTGGAATTTTTCCCAAAAGATAGACAAACTTTTCTATTTTCCGCAACGGTTTCTTCACAAATTCGACAAATAGCCAAAATGTCTCTCAAGCCTGATTACACATTTATTGATACCGTTGATCCAAATGATGTTAATACGAACCTCCAAGTCAAACAATCATATATCATAACCCCTTATGATTCGCATCTCAACGTTATTAGAAATGTCATGAAGGAACATAAGAAATCACATAAAAATGGAAAAATAATAATGTTCTTATCAACAAGAATGGGAACCATGCTTTATGCCGAATTTTTGAGAAATCTAGGTGACATAGAAGTTTATGAGCTCCATTCCGGTTTGTCACAAAACCAACGTTCCAGAGTATCAGAGAGATTCCGCAAATCAAGAAATAGTGCAGTTCTCGTTACTTCTGATGTGTCAGCACGAGGTGTAGATTACCCGGGGGTTACGATGGTGCTTCAAGTTGGTGCGCCTTCTTCTCGGGAACAATACATTCATCGTTTGGGGCGAACAGGCCGTGCAGGAAGAGAAGGTGAAGGAGTTCTTATTCTGGCACCATTCGAGAAAGGATTCACAAAACTTATTCATAACCTACCAGTAAAAGAAGTAGACGGGCGATCATATATTCTTAAGGATGATGGTATGATCGAAAGAGCTCTTGAAGAGCTCGATTATGATCAGATTAGGAGTGCTAGTGCAGCCTTTCTAGGATATTGTGAGTAATAATCTTAATATGCAAAATCTTTATGATTATTATTAATAAAATTTATAAATAATTTTATTTTTCAGATTCAGGAAAAACAAGTACTTATCTCAGAAAAGATAATTTATTGCCAGCTGTTAATGAATTTTCAAAGTCTTTTGGACAAGACGTCCAATTAAGTCTATCTTTTTTGGATAAGTTTGGGATTGGTCAACCACGAGGTAAATCATTATTGTTAAATAGAATATCTTCAAGAAATCAAAGTTTATCTTACGGTAAAACACAACACAAAAGAGGAAGTATTCGAAATAGATGGTAAATATCAAATATGTGACAGAAATACAAAATCCTTTGATGCCGGAGAGATTTCTTAAAATAGAATTTGAATTAGGTTTTTGAATTCGTATGACATAAAATTTATATTTTAAAGTTTGCTTAAAGTCTTTTACGTAAAAAAAAAAGGAAATTCCATAATTTATCAGTATTGGTTCTACGGGAACAAAGATAGAATTATATATTTTTTTAATTTTATTCATTTATTTTGTTGTAAATAACAAACAAATAATTCTATTATTAAAACGTGCGAGTATGTATTGTACGATATCAAATCATGTTAAAATTTAAAATACAATGTTTTAAATTTTTTGATAAAAAAAAAAGTTGGTATTACAATGACAACAACGTTCTAACATATTTTGTATTTAATTAAAAATTTTTACGAAAAAAAAAAAAAACTCCAAAAAAAAACCATTCAAGATCAATATTCCGGAACTTAAATTTTCAAAATTGAATTAAAAATAATTATTTAAATAATTCGATGTTTGCCTATTCGATTTGTGGTTTTAGAAACTACCCCAATCCTAGGACATGATATCATAAAAAATTTCGCACCGGAAATTACATTGGAACAATCGAAGATATATGAAATTTCTACTTATTAATACAAAATAATAAATTTCAATGCACGACACCTTTTGTCGGGTTCATTTTTTTTTACCTTACGTTGTATTTTAGAAATTTTGTTTGATGGATATTAATTTTTTTTACTCGACTTATTTTGAAGAAGCTAAACAAAGAAGTATTTTTAATAAATCGAGAATAAATATTGTTAATCAGTACATTTCACTATTGTTAAATTAGATGCATGTTTTGGAATTTAGATTAAAATAAAAAAAAAAAATGCCAAGATAAATATATCATGGACAACTTAGATTAAAATCACAATCGCTCTAATATATGTAATTCACTAATTAAGATGATTTTAAAGAATAATTACAATAATCAATAATATCCCTTTAAAGGAAATTTATCAAAATCTGAGAGCGCAAAAGCAAGATATAAAATAGGGGCAAGCATTTATTTATTGACATTAATTTCGACGATGTCTTATGAAATAGTGTCAAATAAGTGTTAAAAATATTTATAACGTTTGTAATCGAAAAATAAAAATAAAGTAAAAAAGGAGCAAGGAAAAATTGGTTTGATAGTTATTACATCATAAACCAAAGTTCAAAGCATATAAACAATTCGAAGTATTTTTGAATTCGATGCAACGGCAACTCCTAAAACAAGATTTGTCAAGTTGCGCAGCATAATATTTTTATATCAACAATTTATTTTGTTTATGAAAAACGAATTAAGTTTATTCGCAAATGAAGGATGATAATAAAATGAAAAGAATTCTCCTTTTAAATGCTTTCTTTTTCGAGCGAGAAATCTTAATTTTCATTTTTTTTTTTTTTTTGATGATGATTAATCGGCTAGACTTTTTTTTTTTTTTTTTGCATTAATTGGAACCGACTTTTAACAATTCAAAAATTATAAACCTTTTATTAGAATTTTTATTATTATTGAAATTTTTCTCTTTAATAGATATAAATTACATTTTATTGATATATGTGTTTGATTCATTTTTATTACGAATTTTAAAAGAAAAATTATTTTGCATTAACAAATGTCATAAACTAAAATAATAAATAATGGTTTTTATCGATTTTGATCTCGTTCCTAATAAACTAAAGATAAAAAAAAATAATCAAGTTAGATTTACGAGATAAAATTTTATACATTTTCAAATGTTCCTGTTTAAAAAAAAAAAAAAAAAACATGGTTTCCCTAGATAAACGCCAAAAGATCTACACTGTTAGGAGAGACGCATGATGACT